CCGCTGAGACGTTTGGGGCGCGCCTGCCAGCAGCACTCTGGAGCTACTCTCGCCTCTTTGGGGCCCCGCGGGCACGTACTCAGAGCCCGAGTTGAGCAGGCTGTACACCTGCCCGTTGTTCTCCCACTGGATCAGTTGTCGCCAGCGTCCCGGGTCTGAGCCCTGTTCTGGCTGCGCCTGCTGCCCGTGCACCAGGACGCACAGGCAGGCGCCCCACACCAGGGTCCCCAGCTGGCTACCGGCTCCGGCCAGAGCCATAGTGGCCCTTCTGCAGAGGCCGGGTGGGCAGAGAGGCTCTCAGGAGTGGGCCCGGGTTCGTGCTTCTTTCTCTTCCCACGGCCTCGAGGACAGGACGGCTCCTTGCCTGCCCAAGCTCTAGCTTTGTCCATCCTGGCCTTGTCCCGAGCGGGACGGCTCCTCCGATGACAGCATTTCGAGGCCAAGGGGTCAGGGCAGGGCAGGGGCGGTGCCCAGGGCTGCACGAGGCTTCTGCAGGGCACGACGGGCAGGACCTCCTGGGGCCCTTACATGGCCAGCCCCACACTGGCTGGCCGCTCGCTAGGCTGGCGCTTTCCTACTCTGAATGAATAAGCAACAGGCTGGAAGTGTCTGGAGGTTTCAGGAACCTGGTCCGCCTGCTGGGGCCTCCTCCGCGGGGCCCTATGGCCCGCCGGGTTTTAGCTATGTGGCCTGTCCCACAGCCGTGCTCCCTCAGTCCTTGCTGCTTCCAGCCAAGCCACAGACCTGCCTCTGAGGAAGGGAATGAGGCAGGGAGTAGGAGGGGGCCCCCGGGGACGCAGCCCTGTTAAGTGGGGTTTCTGGCAAGCACAGCAGGGTTAGGATGTCGACACTACCCTGCTGGTTCCACTCTGCTCTGAACAGTTTTTCTGAACTCCACTTTCCTCATTGACTTTATCTCTTCCCAAGCCTCTTGGGATGCCTTCTGTCCTCTCCAAACCTATTGCTAAGAGACATCTTTGTTGGTGAGCCTCCCTGGGGAGATGCCTACCTCTAGCTGGGGTTAACCTGTAATTCCCAGGACACTTGGCACTTGGTCCTAAGTACAAAGACACTGGACCTTCAGCTCTTTCACCAGGTCTCAGTTTATAGGCATGGAGACCACGGTGTGTGTGTGTGTGTGTGTGTGTGTGTGTGTGTGTGTGTGTATGTGTATGCATGCTCAAGAATACACGTGTGTGAAGGACATGGGCTGAACAGGACTTGGAAGCTCATGGGAGACTGACTTCATGCACCCCGTGGTGCATGAAGCACAGGTTTATGTCCTGTGCTTCTTGAGTCTATCGTAGCCAGAAATAATCTGAATATACACATGGATAAGGTGAGTCCAGCAGCTGGCAGCCTTGGCATGGAATAAGGTCGCTGCAAGGCAGAGAAACCTTTAGCATAAACCAGCAGAGAGGGAGGACTTAGGAGAGCCATGGCTTTCAAATCTTAAGTAAGTTCCTTTCCAACTTTGATCTAGTGGCCGCATTTGATGACTGGAAGATTATTCCACATAACTCCATTTGTTCTGGCAGATTCTCTGCTCCCTCTGCGAAGGGCAGAGATAGTAAGATAGATCTCAGACAGTTCAACTTCCTTACTTGGTACCCAAGAAGTTACACTCAAAAAGCTGCTCTACAGGCCTCCCCTAGGCTATGTTAGGCAGGTATGGCCTTGGGAGCTGGAGGGCAAAAATTACCCCCCCCCCCAGACTTATAAACAAAGGAGGAAGAATCTGTCTCCCAAGCCTGAAGACTCTGTTTTGGAAGCTCCTGGAACCCATCTAAGGAGGAAAACAGCCAGAATGGCACTCTTTGGGAACGAGGACCCCTCTGCCCTCCATCCTTACCATGACACATTTATTGACCCACTAGACTGTTTTTCAGGACTGAGGCTCCATTTCTGAGTTTGGGACATTAGATATCTATAATCTAGCCAGAGGAATGGGGCTTGCAGCACCACTTCTCCCAGTGTCACTCTAGCTCTCAGCATAACGTCTGGATTCCCACAACACTGACTGATTAGACTGATGACAAGCATGGCTTGGCTCAAGTGAAGCCTGGGACCTGCAGGGTTAAGCCTCCCCTCCCTCCTGCTTGCCCCCTGCAGTGTTGGCCTCAGCTGCTTAAAATCCCTGGGGTCCTGTAGGGCCTTGCAGCCAGTCAGATGGGCAGCAGAGGAGGAGAAGTGGAAACAGGCCTTAGGGTACCTTTGGCTTGGAGGGGAGGAAGGTTTGAGGGAGGATATGGGACAGTTTTGAGGTGGGAAGAGTATTAACAGGACACTTTTTTGCTGGCAGGGCCGGGTGGGGGGAGCAGGGAACAGGCGCTGCCTTGGAGTTTTGGAGTGGGGAGATCAGGGCATAGGCCCTTATGCTCAGCACTCTGCTGGGAGCCAGCACTTGGCGTGAAACTCTAGCTGGAGTTGGCTCTGGTTCTTTTTTCTTTTTTCTTAATAAGGTCGAATCAGAGTGAGTCAGAAGAGCCAAGTTTCCTGTTAGGCTCTGTTTGAATAAACTCTGCTCCGAACAGAGCTTGGGCCTCTGCTCAGGATCCCTGGGCCAGGACTGTGGGCCAGAGTCCTGGGGTCCCCAGGATGGGCTTCAGCCAGGGCCTGGGCCTAGCTGGCCACTCCCCAGGGAAGCTGTAAGCTCTCTTGCAACCTCACAGTCTTGCCTCAGACCTGGGGAGGAGGGTGGATGAAACCTTTCTTGTGGCAGATTTGGGAAGAAGAAATGAGGGGATTATGAACAATATCCAGCACAGCGCCAGACATATGGCCACTGTTTTCTTCCTCTTGACTAATGAGAGAAGGGAGGAGTTTATCTCTGGAGGGTGGCCCACACCTCATTTTCTCTGTCCCTTTCTTGTTTTTAGCCATCTTCATCTTTCCTTGCCCAGGGAAGGTTTTTGTCCATCTTTCTTACATGCCAGTTAGGCTAGGCTGGTTAATCATGGAGCCTCAGGGACCTTCTCATCTCATTTTGTGCAGAGCAGGGCCTCTCCCTTTCCTCCCTTTCCTGGAACCCAGGAGAACAGTTTCTCTCTACCTCTCCACATGCCTCAGAACCTGGCAGAGTCTCTGCATTCCTAGTCTGAAACCTGCCATGTGGGGATCTGAAGGAGACCTAGGTCGGGTACACAAGGATGCAGAGCACAGGTCAGATGAGGGCTTGGACCCACCAGGCTAGTCTGGGACATAGCTTTCTTAAGGGGAGGCAGCTCCTTTCCCAGCCTGGGCCCTGCTGTGGTCCCCATCCATGATTTTAAACATAGGCATGTGACTGAGTGATGGGGCATACTGCCAGTTCCTGGCACTAGGAACTAGTCTCAAGGGACCTTTGGAGGACTCGTGCAAGGCTAAAGGAGGTTTATCTACTGTGTGCTCAGTGAGCTACATGTCAGTGTTCCCATGGAGCACCATTATCCCATAACCCTGAGATGAAACTCCAGGATTTGGGGATGAGGATATGACTCAGTAGGGGGTCTGCCTTGCAGTCATGGGTTCCCAGAACCCATGTGAAAAGAACTAGGAACAGTGGGGCATGTTTGTAGTCCTGGGGATAGGGAGAGGAGATGAGAGGATCCTTGGGGCTTTGTGGCTTGCCAGCCTAGCCTAACTGGCAAATTCCAGGCCAAGAAGAGACCCTGTCCTTAAAAAAAGGTGGACAACATCTCTGGTCATCAAATACATGCACACATGTGTACGCACACTGCGCACACATGCTTCCCCACACACATGAAAGAAGCTCTGGGTTCTGGGAGATCCTAGAGCTGGGGAAAAACAAGAAAGCAGCAGCAGGCTTGCTCAGCTGAGGGTTTAGGGGACAGAGAAGACATCGGAGCTGGGAGATGTCCCACTGCTTTGTAGAAGAGGGGACCAGGGAACCAATTGTGCATCAGAATTTTCTGTGGTTGAAGGGATAAGGGCAAGCCCTGAGAGTCTACTGTTGTCTGTCACTCACACTGGCGTGCTGTGTCTCCTGTCCTCCCTGTCACTAACTGCCCAGTTTAGTCAGCTCAGGAAAGACCACGGATGGAATTTGTACTGTACTGGGACTCAAAGCTGGTGGCTGGGGACTGTGTTGCCCCATCTGCTGCCTTTGGAAAGTGGGCTGGAGGAAGTGCTGAGCGAGGAGGCCAGGGAGCTGGCACAGGAAATGCTGACTCTGCAGGGAGAGGACCACCAAGTGACCACTGCCAGCTGGGCCCTGTGCCCGCCCATCCCCCGCAGCCACATCTGGTGCAATGGTTGAGGAAGTGGGGGGAACTTTGGTTGGTCCCCAGAGCCAAGGCAGTCATGGAGGGGGCCAAGGAGGGGGCTGAGGCCCTTTGGTTTGGAAATGTCTCTTTAGGGCTGCAACTTTGGAACAGAAGTGTGGGGGGGTGAGCCCTTTTCAAGGGCTGACGAAGTGATGGGGGAACCCACCCTCCTCTAGGAACCAAGAGAATTCTGTAATTCTGACCACTCCCACTAGGTTTTCCATCCCAGCTCTCCTTGGACCCCTCCTGAGGGTTCTTGGAACAGGATAGTGAGGGAGCATCAAGGCCAGACTCCAAGGAGGCAGGAAGCCCTCTTGGTTGTCCTCATACTTCTCCCTTGAGACACTCCCCTGGTGAACAATGGTAACAATCCTGACCTCTCACCCCACCCAGAATTGCAGAAAGGAGGCTGGTGAGGAGGAGGTAGGGGTCACTTTCAGGAAGCCTGTATTGGTGGAGGTACTTGGTGTGATTGCTGGGGCCTGGGTGGGAGAGCCCCATCTGTCAAAATTCTAGGGATGGACATGGGCCAGCAAGTGTAGAATGAAGAGGCGAGAGAGCTCCCTGTCCAAAGGAGAGCTGGCAAAAATCAAATAAGATACCAGGCCCTTAGGCAGAACTTTCAGAACTCTTGGGAAAGCAGAGAAACTAAGGCTCTCTCTCTCTCTCTCTCTCTCTCTCTCTCTCTCTCTCTCTCTCTCTCTCTCTCTCTCTCTCTCCCTCCCTCCCCCTCCCTCCCCCCACTTTGATTTTTGTCTCTGTGTCTTTAACCTTTCCCCAGATCTCTCTGGGCTTCTCTATTCGTCTCCAGACTCATCCATCCATCCATTCACTTGCTCGTGGTCTCTCCTCCATGTCTCTCTGTCTTTCGATCCCCATTTGTTCCCATCACCCATGCTCACTGCTTCTGTGTGCCCTGGTTTCTCTCACATCTTCCTTCCTTAGTCCTCTCATTCAGTATGCCCCCTGGGTGGCTTTTGTGCTGGCCATAGGAGTTAAAGAGACAGGGCAGAACCACCAGGTCCCCCAAAGAGCCCCCGTCTAGTGAGAGTGACAGACCTGGGGAGAGGTGAAGATGGGCGTGGCACTGGCTCCCTGTGACCTTTGAATGTATGTATGAATAGATATGAATCTGTGTGTGTGGAGGTCAGAGAACAGCTTGCTGGAGTCAGTTCTCTCCTTCCACCGCGTGGGTCTCAGGAATCGAAGCCTCAGGTCACCAGGCTTGGCAGTAGTCACGCTTACCCACTGAGTCAGCTCACTGGCCCACTTCACTTTTTAAGGCAGAATCTCTCACTGAGCTTGAAGCCAATGGATTCGTTGGACTAGCCGGCCAGCGAGCCCCAGCTTTCTAC